TGCGCATGGGGCTGCTTAGCTGCAGGCCAGTCAGAGTGCCCATGCCAAGCCCTGAAAGCACCTGCAATGGACATGAAAGCATCGGAACTGGATCTTGGCGCAATAGGCAGATGTATGCTATTTTCTGTTGCATCATTTGGATGGCTGGGTACATGTCAAGCATCTATGGGATGCGTTGGGCCAACAAGCCTGATCCACAGTTACATAGCACCATATACTTCGCAAGGCTTGATACACTGTGTGTTGTAAGACATTTCTCCCATGACCATGATTAAAATTGTCCGCAATTTGTGCCATTGCGGCCCTTCTGTTGGTTTGTATCAGACAGGTTAGCTTTCCAGTCTTGGCCCCCAGCATCCTGTTGGTGGACTATTGGCTTTTCCTTTCTCTGACCACTCTCTGTATAGTCTCATCATAGTTGACTTTGAGCAGCCCACAAACCTTTGACCTAGATGTCAGGCCACAACAATTTAGCCCTTATCAAAGTCACTCAGATCTTTATCATTGACCATTTCTTCTGTATTCAACACGTTGACTATGAATACTGAATGTTGGCTTTCCATCTAATATATTCCAGACCTTGACATGCACTGTTTTTACAAAATAGTTGAGATTACTCACATCACATGGGGATGGGGGGATGTTTTGGCTCATTGGTGTATGGTGATGAAACAACAAATAGACCTCTTTGCTGGCACACTGGTATGGTTGATACAAAGATAAATACTGCTCTTATCCTATTGTGTTGAGGAGCTGGCGTACAATAGGGTAGCTGATTATTCCAAATTGGTGGGGGGATGGGAATTGGGACAGTGAGCAATCCATGGTTATGGTCTCCCTTTCAGAGACTGATCTGCAGCAAAGACACATGGCCATATCCAGCTTGTTTGCAGAGCTGCTGACACTGTTGAACAGCACAGACATATCTACAGCAGAGGTTCTGGCAGCCAGAGTGCACAGTTGGGTGGTGAAACGGGCCAACTCCCACCTTGCACTGGCACTACTCACGGCTTCTTGCTATTCTCTGGCTTCTGTGCGGCACATGACTCACACGACTGAGACCTGCATTTTGGCCTATTTTGCTGACAGTAAGTAAAGGATAGTTTGGTATAATTCCTTTGGGAAACACTATACTGCATCTGATTTTAGCAGTTAAATTATTTTAGCTTTTAATTCACATAGCCGGTGTCTAGGTGCTACTGCCCTAGACTATAGACTGGCAGTACAGTGAAAATTTAAGTGCCCTGACAGCTGTAGTGATTAGTTTTATGGTTCTTCAGTACATGAATGTTCAGCATATTATTGTGTATGATAAGCCTTTAAATGAAAACAAAAATAGCCTGTTTCTTTTTGTTTTTGACTAGTGGGTCCAACAAATCATTTCTCTGGTTGGGGGCCCATTCTGGCCTCCATGAAGGTCCCTGAACTGACTGTGAAGGAGTTTATCAAGGAAAGCCTGGCAATGGGTAGCTTCCTCACCCTCTATGTCTACATTCTGCAGAAGCTTAACCTCGAACAAACATTTTCCAATGAGCAAAAGACTTTGGCATTGCTCAACACATGGATCAACGAGGTCTTTCCCAGGTGATTTCCAGTCATTTGTCATTAAAATGAATTTTAATACATATTTAGTATTTGCCTAAACTAAAGCAAATGGTCCTTAATGACTGGAACATCTCATTACTGTACAGTGCCAATTTGTAGTTACTAGTTATGATACCTGAGTGAATGATTAGCATTAAAGGTTACTCATGGGTTAATTCAGTCTGACAAAGAAAATCTAGATTAACCTGGCTAATAAAAGGGAAATTCATGAGTAACCCTTGTTGTAAGTCTGTATCCAAAGGCACCTATATGATATTTTCTTTGAAGCTTAAAGACATTTTAAGGATGAACTAAATTTACATATCTTCAGGTATCATCACAGCAATTTGGACTGTGTGAAAATTTGTCTTGCATTACTTTTCAGTGGTCCTGCTGATGAGGCAAAGTTGTTTTTGTGGTGGCACAAGGCCCTTCAGTTAACTCTGCTGCAGCTGGATAAGGTCCAGACGCTATGCCTGGAATCCCTCCTGCTTAGCCTGCAAAACAGAATGACCCAGCTGAGCGATGAACGGCTCAGCTCGGGTTTGTTGGGGGCTATCGGTCTGGGTAGAAAGTCCCCACTCTCTAGCAGGTACGTAAGGGGATTTGTAAGAGGATTTTGCATGTCATTTCCTCTAATACTGTTTTTTTTTTTTTTTTTATATAATTCCACCTGATTAGTGTGGTACTTGGTACTTTCATTAGACCGTGCATTTGTGATCTTGACTTTCAGGTTCCGGGTCGTGGCTCGCAGCATGTCTGCTTTCCTGCTGAGCCAGGTGTCTTCAGACAGCCAGGTGCGCATCACTCCTGAAATGGACCTCGAAATGTCTGCCAAAGCTCAGCAGGTCAGCTCGCTCACTCATTGGTTTAAAGGTTCTAATGTTTCTATGTTGTACATATCTTAAAATACAGTTTAGTTTAATAAAGAGGTGCATATTTCTAGGACATATTTTGTATGATTACTGGACTTATGTCTAGGATGTACCCCAGCCTTGTGCCCTGTGCAAACTGGACCCACCACCACTCTTAGCAGGATAAATGGATGGATGGATGGATGGATGGATGGGTGGGTGGATGGATTGACTGATTGTATGTTAAATATTTTTTGTGTGTTTTCCTTCAGGCACTGGCAGCCTTGGAGTCCATGTCTGAAAGTAAGCAGTATTCTGAATTCAAGCTGACTTTAGATCAGACATGTCAGTTTATTAAGTATCGAGGACACTGTCTGCAAGACTGGAGCCACTTGTTTGCCCTCCTTATTAACTCGCTGTACGTCGATATCCACTTCCTGGACATTCTGCGAGACTGAGACTATCCCAAGTGTCTGATTGTGCTCTGAATGCCAAAATAACATATTAGCCTGTGATAATGGCAATTTCCATTCCCCACGCTGAATGCAAAAACAGGGTTTTCAACGTTGTGTGATTCTGATACAAGGCTTCACGTGTTTGTGTGTCTTGTTGATTTTTACATGTGATTCTCTCTCAAATCATCTGTCTACATCAAGTTGTTGAAAATGTGATGGCTGTGTCAGACTATAAAGATTGTATGAAACTGCTTTTGTGTACTATTGTGGATCTATTTATGTGTATTTAGAAATGCAGAGAAAATTTGTTGCATTCGTTTGATGGATACTGATGGAAATGTACATTAAAACTTGTAATAACTCCTATTGAAAATTGATCTTGTTAAAGTAGATGTATTTGTTGCATAATGCTCATCTAATTTTAGTTTGGTTTTGCAATGAAAGTGCACCGAAACTGCTCACAAAAAGTCAAGGACAAGGACAGGGTTAGAGTGGGGAAATTCACACTGATGCACATCAAATATACCTGCATTTTAGCATGCTGTTTGTTCCATCATCTGTTATTCTTTGATCAACACACATCTAAAGGTTTAACTTTTAAAGTTATGTTATTCGTAAGTTCATGATTCTTTCAGGCGATACAATGCAAATAACAAGCACTGAGCATATACATATAAAAATGACACATTAGAGAGAGAATCTGGGAATAATGACACTCCAAATACAAATATACATCCATTCATCTTCAAGTTCCTTTTGCTGGTGAGTCTAGCAGGCAAGTCCAAACCTCTTTATCCTGGATGGCTTTATCTTTATCCAAGCCCACAGATTCAAGTATATTCTAGACAAACTCCAGGAGTCCCCAAGTTAGCTGGGAGATATAAGCCCTCCAGCATGTCCTATGTCCAGGATCCTCACAGCTATTGATGAAATTCGCAAGATTGGAAAACAGAGGCTACTGGTCACTTTAAATGGCCTTGACATTAGGCCATGTATGTGGACTAAACTCTTAGCGATTTCAGAATCGCATTTTCCTGTAGCCTCTCCTGCATTATGTGCCAGAGGATTCAGTAAAATGCCCACAGACCACTTGTTAGATTATATTAACATATTCCCACAAACCTCCCACCATTGTGTGAGGGAGAATCTTTAGTCCAGTATTCCACAGCAAGTACGGAATCCATATCGTTTCTCCTAAATCATGAGTTTGCCCATCAGGTGAAATCTCCTCTCCAGTATGCACTGGTGGGTTTAGGTATGGGAGATATGGGCAGCCACCCAGGGGGGCATGGGGTGCTCGCACAAAAATTCGGAATGGTGACATCTGTGCGATCGGTTTTCTACCACTCATTTGCATGTCACGCGAATTTTATCATGTCACTGTGCGGGTGAATGAACCTTGTCGAAGTGGGCGCCCTGATTCTAGTTTATGTGCTAGGCAGGTTACCACTGTGAAGTACAAGATGGGGAGGGGGCAGGGATGGGTTTACCTCAGGTTACCCCACTGGAAGCCCAAGGTAGGGGGAGCAGGGGGGGGCTCTGGTAGGGTGGGGGGGCACTGAAGGGGAGGGGGGGGGGTCAACTGGGCACCATCCAAGCTCAAACTGCCACTGTCAGTATCTGTATTTTTCTCAGAAATATACATGTGTGTTTCCTCAGGTCTGTGTGTGTGCAGTTTTCACGTTTTTCCTACGTTTTTTTTTCCTACTACAGAAAATACATTTGTTGCGGGGGTGGGATCCTTGGCTTGCGATTACGAGTCGATGGATAATAGTAGCTGTGAGCCCTATGTATTCATGACATCACCTCTATTACCATAATCTATCCATCGATCTGCTATAAACACTTATCCAATATGAGATTTTCCAAAAATATTTGCTAACGTTTTTTTGTGTGAAAAAAGCATCACTTACAACAAGTTATGAAAAACTAATTTTTTTGAAGTACAGCATTATTTTTATTGAAAGTGGATGGGTTCAGAAAGCAATTTTCCAGTAAAGAATTCCGACGGAAGCCAAAGAAGGAGATTACCCAGGGGATTCCCACAACAAGGAGGCCTCAAAAACGGGAACTCTCATCAGTTTTTCTTCTGCCCTCCCGTGGACATGCAAGTAAAATACCCTCGACTCCATGGCCGCGAGTGATGACATCATTTATACTGCGACGTATTTCTCTGTATGTTGCGATTGTAGGACAGTTTTGCAAAAGCAGCACCAATACAACAAAAACGACGCAGTAATTATGGCCGAGGATGCATTTAAAGTGAGTTTTAATTATTTTATCACGTTCCTTTGGAAGGGTCCTTGCTGACGATATTTTTATTTCAAATTAATACAGTAAAAGTTCCTTCTAAAGCCTTTTGTCCATGTTGCTGATACAGTTGTTCTTAGTAGTAACACAAGTTGATTTAGTATTTTAATGTTTTCGTGGAATGTTAAATTTTATACATTAATAATGATATTAGGAACAACCGGAAGAGTGAGAATAGGGTCATATTACAGCAGGTACATTAACGTGCAGTGGATGCAATAAACGTAATGAATGAATGAATTTATTTGAATTTATCTGACATTCTTAGATCTATATATAATGAAATCTGGATGCTATCCTGTTAGATAAATAAGAGCATAAGTCGTCTATCTCAGGGTTGCCAACTTTGGTCAGCTGGCTGGCGTGGGATTTTCAAACCGAGACAAGTCTGCACACGCAGTTGCATGCATGCATCTATCAGTTGTATTATTTTCTAAATAGTCTGTATGGTTTGCAAACTACCCCTTTTGATGTTGTTAATTTTAGGTTTATAATGGGAATAATACAGATTTGCCGTAAGATTTGTAAAAGTACGAGTGTCATGCCAAGTGCGTGAGAGTTGGCTATCCTGTCACCTGCGAATGCGCATGGTCCTCGCGGTTTCCAACTACCTAAGGCTGAGCCATGTTAGAAAAGTTAGAGCTTGTAAGAGACTTCCTGAATTAACATTTTTTGGCACCCGTGGTGCAGAAAAGGCTCTATATCTCAAAGGGAAATTAAAAAACGACATTTCTGAGCTCTGGGAAGTACGTGAAGGGCTGCCAGCTCTCGCGCATCTGGCCTGACACTCACGCTCGTGCAAGAAATGTTACAGCAAATCAATATTATTCAATTATAAACTTACAATTAACTACATCAAAAGCATTGGGGTAGTTTACAAACCCTACAGACTATTTACAATTTAATCAGACTATTTCAACTGTTACATACATGTAAATGTGTGTGCAGGCTTGCCTCGAATTGAAAATCTCACGCCAGCCAGCTGACCAAAACAGTGGTATGCGTACATCACATGCCAAATTTAATCAAAATCAATGGTGATTCTGTATATATTATCGAGGGGTCCCCAAACTTTTGCATACTACTGTAATTACCACATAGATCTTGAGCTGAATCGTTGTGGTGGAACAGGGAAAGAACTACTGTAATTAAGCTACACAGGGCTCCGGCCCCCCCAGGACTGGAGTTTGACGCCCCCTACCCTATATAATAATATTATTATCTTTCTACTGTTAAATGAGGTGTTTTTCCTGAGAAAATATGTGTTTAATACCCAGATAAATTACCTTTTCTTTATTTTTCTTACTGTTGTATTTATTACTTTATCAGATAAATCATATATATGATTGATATTTTTTGTATTTATGCTTTAATACATATTATTTTATACATAATGTAAAAATTGTGTACTTGATGAACTCAGCCTGAACTATGTTCTGATTTGTCTGTGTTCCCAGGTTTCTTCTCTGAAAGGCAAAGTGACACTAATAACAGGAGCCAGCTCAGGCATTGGTGCTGCTGCCAGCATCCTGTTTGCAAAACTGGGAGCCCAGCTGGCCTTAAATGGCCGCAATATGGACAATCTCGCAAAAATAGCCAAACAGTGTACAGACTTAGGAGCAACTGAGGTAGCTGCATTATATATATATATATTTATATGCAGGGTTTTTTAGTCCACATTTTCATCAAATACTAGTGATATTAAGAATGTGTTTCCACTGTCAGCCCCTGTTAGTTCCTGGAGATCTGATTAATGAAGAGGTGGTGAAAAGTGTGGTGGAACAGACAGTCTCTCATTTTGGAAGGCTGGATGTCCTGGTGAACAGTGCTGGAATTCTGGCCATGGGCAGTATAGAGACGACTAACTTAGCCCAGTTTGACCAGGTTATGAATGTCAACGTAAGGTATGGTAAATTCTGAACTATTTTTTTAGTGTTGTGACTTCTACATGTAAAATGTTGTTCGACCTTGCAGCTTTTTTTCGATTGTAGTGACTGATTGAGGGACGGGGGGGGGGGCTCAGTGGGCTAAGCCTCTGTGCCAGTGATCGGAAGGTCGTCGGTTCAAGCCCAGCCTCAGCACATCTGTGGGTCTTTGAGCGAGGCCCTTAACCCCCAGCTCCCTGGGCGCTGCTATGGGTGGCTGCCCTTCACGGCCAGCTTACTCTCACCTACCGAAAGCAAATTGGGGGAGGTGTAAAGAGAATTTCCCTACAGGGATCAATAAAGTGTCAATTCTTATTAATTATTACTGTCAGTCATCTGTCTATAATACACCCCACATGTATTTTCTGTTATATTTAATTAATTGTTCTGTATGTAATACTTGTTGCTTTTTAAGTAGTATTTTACAATTGTAGCATAACGATTCCTTTCTGTCTGCCAGGTCAGTTTATCACCTGACTCAACTCTGTGTTCCTCATCTTATCCAAACTAAGGGTTCCATTGTGAACGTATCCAGTGTGAATGGCCAAAGATCAGTAGGTATCGCTTGTATAATCGTTGTATAATTTAGTACAGGGCAAGGTTCAAGTTTTATTTCTAACATACACAAACATACTGTACGCTGTACATGTGTGTAGTGAATTGATTTTTCCACATGCTCCCCTGGCTGTGTTTGAAAAGGAAAGACCTAATATGAGAAAAGATAATTAATTCAAGATAATAAATGAAAATAATGATAAAGTAATAAGTGGCAACCAATTCTATGTTTTAATGTTATTTACTATAGTATTAAATCATGTCAAGGGGCTCTGAAGTACAAGATACAAAAATAAAACAGAAACATTCATATATAAATCATGACTACAAAGGAAACAGAACAATGAAATGACTAAAAGCAAGTAAGAAAAAATTGTGGAATATGGCTAAATCTTAATAAAGTTGGAGCTAAATCATAGCTATTCTTTAATAGTAGCAAATAAATACATAAATAAATTATTGAATAATCAAAACCTACAGGGTATGTCTGTCTGCATGTCATGCTGTATGGGGTGCCAAATATCAAGCACTCATTTTCGTGCGAAAAATACATTCTGTGCCACAAATAAACATTATATAATGAAATCAAGTAAGGCCATGCTGTACTTTGTCCATGAAAGCGTAAAGACTTCACTTTCTTTCGTGTACAGAAATCAAAAGGAACGTTTCGTTTTGTGCACAGAATTGATACCAGCGCTTTGCATTTTCTGGACAGAAGTAAGTCATTTTCGTGGACAAAATGCAGCAAAGGCATTACTTGATTTCATCATTAAATAATGCTTTTAAATAATGCTAGCAGTACCTACATTTGTAATGTGAATTATTTCACTTTTTGCATTTCCAATATTTACTTGTCTTTAGTAATGAAGAAAACAAGATTGACTACACAATGAAGGTTTATTCTTCAAGAATAATGCGAATCTAAAGAAGCAGTGGCTAATACATGTCCAAAGAAATAGGGGAGGAAACGGGACAAGAGAACTCGACATAATTTTATGTTAAAAGTTGCTAAGACAGATATGAATATAACTAGCTGACTATATACATGCTAACAAACTGTCAGCATTCAGCTAAAAGGATTGAAGCTGTCCTGACCGTAAAGGCAAATCCTACCATTTAATTAGGTCCGTGATAAGAGGGATGATCGAAGTACATTAAAAACAATAAAATGTAGGGATGTAGCAATATCAGAAACTCATGGTACAGTATCACAATAAGTCCACAGTATGATATTTCTCACTGGAAACATGAAGAAAAGTCCTTCATTAAATAATTAATCAGCATTTTATTTGTATAAAATATTTTCCTTTTAACTTAGTGCTTCTGCTTTCCTTCTTTAATAAAATTAAATACCCAGCCATGATCTAAACCTGTGCAAAAAATGACATGAATTGTCTTTGCCAATGAATAACTGAACTATGTATACTCAATTGCAAAATGAAACAATGCTGCAGTCAGTAATAGCAGACTCTTTATAATATGAAATTAAAATAAAATGATACTTTATTGCAGTAGCTGGATCTTGTGACAAAACAAGTCACTCACAGTGGAACAGTAGTGTTTTTAGCAGAGGTGGGCAATCTTATCCACAAAGGACCAGTGTGTATGCGGGTTTTTGGGATAACCTTTAAGTCAGCTGTTCGTACCCCAGTGTGAGGACTCTTCAACCAATCGATCCTCTACTTAGTAATCTAATTAGGGGATTGCAGCGAAAACCCACATACACAATGCTCAGGGGACTTATACTTACACAAAAATGTTTTGAGTGCAGAAGGAAACATTGAAATTATGCTTTCTCATGAGAACTGTTTTGTGGTATAGTTTCCTGGAGTCCTGGCTTATTGCATGTCAAAGTCTGCCATTGACCAGTTTACTCGTTGCATTGCCCTGGGTGAGTAAACCTGTTTGCTTGTGATATCTTTGTCTTAAAAATACCTCAGTCATACTCATGTAGTGTTTTAGCCACTGTGCCATATATGGATATTTTTTATACACACTTCCAAAATGGCTGCACATAATGCAGCACATATAGAAACATTTATACATACCATATGCACCAAATAGATCTATGTGTTAATGATGGATCTTTCATTCTCTAACATGATATTTTTGGTTTTATTTTGCATATCTAGATGAGTTGAAGCCACTGTCTGTGTTTAATTTCATAAGCATTTATTTCATGTCAAATTTCTTGTAGAACTGTCCACCAAACAAGTACGAGTCAACTCAGTCTGGTAAGTGGTATTATCAGATAAAAACTTTTTATTGATAAAATTATGAATAGCAGTGGTGACATCCACTGTTGAACGGCTGAGTATGTTGGCATTTCTTCTTTTAGAGATCTGAATAAAACTAGAAATTGAATGACTTGTTCAGTCAAAATGCTGTTTTTTATTGGTAAACATAATAGGTCGATTCATGTTTCACTTTTCTGTGTGCTTTTGATCGCGCAGAGGGTGAGGTTATGTAAATTTAATCTTAGGTGTTTTGCGCTGGATAGTTGTGGCTGGATAGAGTGTAGCTCAGATTTTTTTGTCTGGTGGAGATCAGCACTGTGTGTGCTGACTGTACCTGTGCAAGATAAAGGGATTTTCAGTAGGTGGCAGCTCTGACTTTCACAGAGCAGAAATCGGTATACGGTATTTTAAAAAGCAGCACTAATCCAGCGTTTTTAAATCTTAGCAGGGGTAGGGGGTGGTCCTGGTGATGGTCACAGCTAATTTTGTTTTAAGGATTTCAAAATACCACGGTATGCCATATTACCTTAATATCACCCAAGCCTAGACTTCATAATTTAAAAATATTTGTAAAAAAAATTAACCCATTTCACTACACTGCTCGTATTTGTGTTTGCTGCAATTGTTATATTGTATACTTTTTACTAATCTGGGGTCTGGCCAGCCAAGTTGTAAATTAGAGAGAACAATTAAATGAATTTGAAAATTGTCCTTTGCACAGGCAGTCTATCAAATTTAAAGGTGCTTTATGTGCATGTAAACAGTTCCATGTTTGTTTCTTCCTGTCAGCCCTGGTGTAATTATCACTGAGGTTCACAAACGTGCAGGGTTGGACGAGGAGCAGTATGCTAAGGTATTTCTTTCTAAATACTTTACTGACACTTTGCTGCAATAATGTTTTAATCTGAAGCCAATTTAAATTTGACAAACCTGCAGAACAGAGTAAACTGTTGGGTTTTAAAATGATATGTGGTTATAAGCCCTAAGAATAGCCACAGATAATACAATCACATTTAGTTTGTCTTGTAATTTAACAGAACACCAAGTAGTTCTAGTTCTGTTGTCTTAAATGTCTGCAATGACTTTTGTTTTCTGAGAAAGAATAATGGTAAACGATATGGTTTACTGTCTCTGTCCTTTTTCATCTATAGTTCCTGGAGAAAAGTAAACAGACCCATGCCCTTGGTCGCCCAGGGGAGGGTGAGGAAGTGGCTCATGCCATTGCATTTTTGGCATCTGATGCAGCATCCTTCATAACAGGAGTCAATCTTCCTGTAGATGGGGGTCGTCATGCAATGTGTCCACGGTAACCAGTGCCAGTGATTAGCCACTTGGGAATTCAGTAGACGTAATTTCTTTACAGCAGCCACAAACACTTTTAACAGCAAAGAATAAATTGAATTGAAAAATATTACACATTGTATTTCCTGTGTTACAAGTGATCAAAATGTCCTCCCTCAAAATAAACATTATGTATTTTCATTCAAACCATTTTGCAGTAGGGGTTAAAAAATGGTGGAACTTACAGAATTGAAGGTATATTTTTATCAAAGTGGAACGTAAGTTGTAAGATACATACTTTTTGGTCCTTGTATACGTTCTTCCATAGGTGTCTACTTGTCACCCAAATGACACTGCAACTTACATCCCACCGATTACCATGGTGATGATGAGCCCACAAAATGGCTCTGTGTTCCCCATCCAGGCCTGGTTATATAAAGTGCCCTCTAGAAGTATTAGCACCCTTGGAAAAATGTCAGATTCCCTTAGTTATTCATCAACGTGACTGAGAGTAGAGAATACACAAATGAGACAATATAGATCAGGCAACGACTATGAAAAAAATCGACGCACCTGAATGCCCAAATCCACTATTAGAACAATAATTAAGACGTTGAAATAGCTGTAATGAACATACCTGGAAAAGGACACAAGTGCATTTCACCACCACGCAGATTACGGAGGACAGTTAGAAATGCCAAAATTTCTCCCAGGATCACACCGTGTGATTCACGAAAAGTTATTTACTTCCTAAAGAGCGAATGATCAATACTGTGCATTTTATGATGGGTTTATGTTGTGACTCAATCATTCAATCCTATTAATGGGAATGATATCAAGTTATGCGCACAGGACCTCCCAGTGGAACGTTTAGGTCAAAGACCTGGTCTAATAGTAGCTGCTATATTCTTTCTAGGCTCATTCAATTCTGTTTCCAAATATTTGATAGATTTGGGGGAAGCCGTGTGATGGAGCTTCTGGGTCCAGGCTGAACATGATCTAAAGGTGGGAGAATAAACAGCCTTGGATTTAAGATCACAAGGCTGAGGCCCAGGTGATGCTCACAGAAGTCAGGCAGGTAAACTGTTTGCCATGTTTTGAGATAGCATAAATGATCCAATTAGGATGGAGACGGTCCTATTTATAAAGCCAGGTCGTTCCCAAAGAAGGTACCAATTATCAATAAAGGCTATGGTTTGAGATGCAGACCAAGGGAGATTAGCCTGCCATAGGTTACAGTACATCCTCTCTGTAGAGAATTGGTAAAGGACCAGAGATAATTAGATTCCAGCATTTTCTTTTAGCTTTTGCACACATAGAAATTAAGTTTGTGTTTAATACATCGGATAGTCGGAACATTAATTCCAGCGCGAAAAACCTAGACTACGTTGCTGGTGATGGAGTCCAATTTCGCCTCATTGTCAGGTTCTGGCCCTGGGGAGGGATTTTACACAAACTGCTGCTTTTTGATTGCTAGAAACTCTAATCAATTAGGACCACCTTTTTCTCTCCGGTAGACAAACTGTCAAGAGCACAGGTCCTGTTGCCAAATATAACAGCCGGGTGGTCTGCTGGAGCTCTTGGATTAGGTTAGGCGTGTGTGTGCTGGCTGCTGGTACCAGGCAGGAGAGACTACAGCCACAGCTAAGCCTGCTGTGTGGTCCGATTGAGCCATTTCAAAAAATCCTAAAAACAAAAAATCTACTTAAACAATAGAGTGAATTGTGTGTGTGCACAGTGCCTTTGGAAAAAGTTTCATGCGTACGGTATCCATTGCACCTTATATTGATGGTATACTGCTGCTTTATACATGTGCAGATGTGCAAACAATTACGGCAAAGGAAGGCCAAGGCTAAACTCACTTATCCATGTTTAGATATTTAGCCTTTTAGCACACGCTGAAACATGATGGCTATGGAAGTGAGTTCACATTGCCCATCCACAGACAGCTCATTCATAACAACGCAGGTTAATGAAATTATTAACTTCACAGTGTTATTAATCTGAAACAGCATTACACTCCTGCACCACGCTGACCGGATCTTCTCTTTTCCTGCCCGTCGGTTTCGTTTCACAACAGCGACACCTTATGGTTAGGAGGTCATGTGAATTCATATTAATAATGATACTTCATTTGTCATTTTACCAGTGCAGGTACGTTGGAGTTCTTTGGATTCCGCGTATTTGCACTGTTCTATGACACACATTACAAACATATGAGGGTGAAGCTTGGGGTCAGACAGCAAATCACCATGGGATTTAAACCGGTGACCTTCTGGATACAGACAGACTCTGTCCCATTTTTCCCTCTTGGTCCACACTTACACACTACCAAATTTGGCATGCACTTTAATGAGCTTAGTGCAAGTATTTAAGGGTGTCCCGTTCCTCCAATAAGCCAAGTGCAGAGGGTTTAACGAACACTTGATCCACATTTTTTGCAAACACCAGATGGAAGCAGTCTTTAACTATATAGACCACAGTGCACCACATCAGTGATGACTAATGTTTACATCAAACACGATTATGTCTGCTGGCTTATTAAAGTTTCAATGTAAGTATACAAAGTTGTATAACGAATGTTTACATAGCCTACACATGTGAAATCCATCACCACAGTGTAGGTCTCAGCATGCCTGGCCTTAAGTGTGCTGAATGGGACGCAGAACCCCAGAGCTGCAGACTGCCTGCCTCCGTGCTGAACTACCGTCCCATTGTCACATTCTAAGAGGCATTTATAATAACAATGACGTGTTATAGATCCTTTTATAAACTTCTCTTTTTTCCTACCCCACCTTGTTCTCTATGACACACATACACATATTTAAGTGACAGCAAGCTTGGCAGTGAAGGGCAGCCACCTCTAGCGGCACCCACAGAGCTGGGGGTTAAACTGAGGTCTGTTTGAGCCTCCATGATAATGCTTCACTCAGCAGTATAGTGTAGAAAACAATGAATGTGTCCTCAGAGTGATATATGATGTTTTTAGATACTATCATGTGATATGTAACTAGAGCTGAAAAATACATTCAAAGTACTAATAAAACAGTAACTCTATGAAGAAACACCAGAATTGATAAGAAAGTCTGTTTGACATTCTGAAGAACTGATTCTTATAATAATAATAATAATCATTGCTTTATTAGTAGTTTCACTCTCTGTGAAATTGTCTTTACACCTCCCTCAACTTGTTCTTTGTAGAGTAAGTTGTCTGTGAGGGGCAGCCACCTGTTGGGGTGCCCAGGGAGCTGGGGGTTAAGGGCCTTGCTCAAGGACCCACAGACATGCTGAGGTTGGGTTTGAACCAGCGACCTTGTAATTACAGGCACACACAGGCTTAGCCCACTGAGCCACACACTGCCCTCTAATGACTGCCCCTTATATGGTTTCCAGGAAACAATTTCAACTCGGGGAGAAAGCAAATAATACTGTAATTGTGAAAGGTGGAAAAAGGAGATTCTTACTGAACTGCTACATTTTGTAAATATGAAACCTGCCTATTATTACCATGAAATGCTGGCTTTGTATCATATATCAGTTCCTTAGAGTAGGATTTACAAAACCAACTGATATATTAATTTGGTTATACCACTGTAAGCAGACAAAATATGCATTACACTCCAAACAATTAAACATGCAATTATTTCTCAAATACCATTTATTCATACAGATTAATACATTGCTGTTTATCATTTTCCAGTTTTCAAGAACTGGCTTCAGGTGCTTCCATTTGGCAATTACATTTATATATACAGGGCTATGACATTTATAACAAGATTTTAAATTACAGTGGTACCTCGGTATACGTCCGCTTTGGAATAAGTCCAACTTGGTATACATCCTGTTTGGATGCGAAAAAGTTTGCTTGGTATACAACCTTTGTTTGGAATACGACTCACGTGCTAGAACTTGTTAGACTTGTAGTCAAGACCGCCTAAACCAATACCAAGACATTACCAAGACCAAGACTAAGACCAAGACAGACCGAGTCAAGACCAAGACAAAGTCGAGGCGAGACCAAGACCGCGACCGAAAAAAAAACTGCCTTAACTTTTGTGTGCTGTTGAGGACTGACATGACGGGTACTGACTGGTCCCAAAGTCAAAACAGCTAAACAGCTAAAACCTCCAACAACTGTCTAAAGGATGGGAAATATGGAACTGATTTCAACTATACTTAATTTGTAGATTAAATTGTAACATCAAATTGAAGATACACAATAATAAACTTGAAATTGCATCATGTCCCATTGTAGTAGTACTAGCCAAATGACACTGTATGATATCAACGTCCCTGAAATGGATTAGACCTGTTAAGTCAACACAACGTTATATGCAGATGTTATTTAAAAGTCAATGGTCACATTTATTTAGTCAAACAACACCATTTTAAGTAAAATACTGTAATCAAACAATATAAAGACATGCGCACACGTCACATGAATCAAATGCAAACTAGAAATACTATATACCAATACAAACTGCACATCAAATTGTGCATTAATAAGAATAAGGACAAGTGCTTAAACGATTCTGACATCTTGATGTCTGCAGTGGCATGTGATTACACATTTAACTAGGGCTGGACGATTTATCGATTTCAAATGGCAATCACGATTTTAAACAACACGATGAGCAAGTCGCAAAAATTGCGATTTAGAATATACAGTGGTACCTCGGTTCTCGAACTCACTAGAACTCGAATTTCTTGAAAGTCGAACAAACCAGTTTGACCTAGAA